TGTTTTGGCCACATCGGGTGGCATGTGGGATCTTAGTTCCCTGGCCAGGGATCGAACCTGTGTCCCCTGCATTATAAGACTAGAGTCTTAACCACTGGACAACCAGGGAAGTCCCCAGAGCTATGCATTTTACATGCACTGTCTCACATTCTCTTCCTCAAAACCTTTGCCTCCCAGTATTACCATTCATTCCTCAGAGAAGGGAACAGCAGCCCACTCCAGTATTCTTGCCTGGAGAATTTCATGGACGGAGGAGCCTGGTGGGGTACAGTCTATGGGGTCACAAACAGCTGGACATGACTTAGCAACAAAACAAAATTACCATTTCTTAGAGAAACTTCATCAAGCCTCTGTGCTCCTGTACATGCTGTTCCCTCTGCCTGAGAAGCCCTTCCAGTCTCATCTCCTCCCTGCGACATGCTCTGAACACCTCTTAACCTTCATGAGACACTGACCGTCCCTGGGGAAGTCTTCCCTCTATCCCAAGCATCGTTTTCCTGGAAGTCCAGATTTTTTCTCCAGCCATTGACCACATGGTCACTGTAATCACTTGTCCCCAAGCCTGTCTATTCGTTCTCTGAGCGCTGTCCTCAAGGGCACAGATCTAAATGGACCTTTGTCTCCTCAGCCTGTCACACAGAGCCCGGCCAACACTACAAGCTTAACAAATATTTGTAGAATAGAGCAACACAGGAATACATTTCTCCCATGAAGATCAACCGATAAGAGGATTTCATTTTTTAAAAAAAAGCACATATCAAGACTCCTTCCAGGTACAGATGTTTACCAATGGAAGACACACCTCCACCCCAGGACAGTCTGTGCAGAGGGTGTCCAGCCTGCAGTTGACTTAAGCAAATTTCTCCACTGTCCATTTGGTCCAAGCAAACAACTACTTTGCTTTCTGCTCTCTCTCACTAAGAATCTTCAGAAAGTATTTTCTTATACATTTTCTTGTCTGTGCCTGGTATCAGCTGCGGCGTGTGGAGTCTAGTTCCCTGACCACGGATTGAACCCAGGCCCCCCTGCATCGGGAGCTCGGAGTCGTCTTAACCACGGGACCATCAGGGAAGTCCCAGAAAGTGTCATGAAGGATTTTAGGAAGCAGTGGGAGGGTCTGGCCTCACTTTATTCATCTAAGGTTTAGCTTGTAAGCCCAGCAGGTCAGCCTGCTTCTCCGCCATCAATCCAAGGAGAACAGCTTCTTCAACTGCATCTCAAGCGGGAGAACCACTTACTGCCCGCAGGAAACCACCCCTGGAACCAAGTCACGGGGCCGGGAGGAGGGCAGCGGACATTCAAACCCAGGACCGAGAGTGCTCCGCGCCTGCTGCGTCCGGAGACGGAGGCCTTCGGATGTGTGCGCACAGCGGTCCCCATGCAGTCAGCAGGTTGTGTCTACGATGTCTTTGCTGGAGACGTTTCCTGGAGACCCTCCTGGGGAGGCAGGGACCCCAAAGGGGTCCAACCGCAGCGTGCAGCGGTCCAGCTGGTTCTTGGACAACCGCCAGACAGGAGATTGGATCTTGAAAGCTGAGCACGGGCACCTCTGTCCTCTCTGCCCCGAGGGCGATCCACCACCCCCACCCCAGGCCCATCAACCCAGGGAGCTGGGTCAGCCACTGGGGAGCCTGACTTGGAGCAGGACCTCTAGAGAGAGCAAGGCAGTCATCCAGCTCCTCTGAGCCCTATGTGTGCGTGGGACACCCCAACCCCCCCGGGCCAACCTCACCCGGGTGGGTAGCTAAGCAAACAGGTGAGGATCAGGTTCTCAACTCTGCCTCCAGAGAGCTGTGTGACCTAAGCCAAGTTGCTTCCTTTCTCTAAAATATGCTTCTTCATTCATAAAATGTGCAAGTAATACCTACCTTCCGGAACTGTGGAAGGTGTCAAGATAATCTCTGCAGAACACCTCCATCTGGGCATAGAATGTGGTCAATAAACGCGAGCTTTCTAGTACTATTATAGTCAGTCCCTTGAGTGTTTGACTACAAGCTCCCCGAGGGCAGTCTTTCTCTGTTTCCTAGGAAGCGGTGTTCTCAGCACAGGCCTAATGCAAACAGCGCTATTTGGAATACGATGCCCCGTCCGTCAGCAGGATGAGCCCGTGACAACACACCCCAGCGACGCGCGAGGCCTCTGGGGCCCACAGACGAAAGGCAGAGCCGGGTCCCCTCGTCCGCCGAGTCCACCCATCAGACGGCAAGCCTTCACCACCGCCCTCAGCCTCACAGGAGAAATGGTCTGAAGAGGACGCTGAGACTTTGCTGACTGATCCCGCTCTAACCAAAGCTCATCCACACACAGGTGTCACCCCGGGCATGGCCTGGTCAACCTCGCCCCGAGTGTTGGATGAAAGGACTTGATCTTCTTTAAAGGAATCTTCGGAGGCACAAAGCAAGGAGATGGGGGGCGAGTTGCCTAGCCTGGGGAGCCCCAGAACTCACGCAGACTTTCACCCTCCCTGGCTGGCTTTCCCTGCCTCTCCCCCGATGCTCCTCCCGGGGAAACACTTGGAGCTCCTGCCCTGTGCCGCAGCTTCTAACACCGGTGCTCCTTCCACCGCCAGGGGTGAGATTCTCCACACGCATGCAAATGCACACATGACACACACACGTGGGCATGATACACATGCGTACATGACACACGCACACGACATGCACGTGCACGCATATACGTGACACACGCATTACACACATGCATACATGCTCGTGCACAACACATGCACACACATGTGCACATGACACACACGTGTACGTGACACCTGTGCACACGACATGCACGTGTATACATGACACGTGCACACAACATGCACATGCACACGTGTCCATGATGCATGCATGCACTCGTGTACCTGACACCACATATCCTTGGAGGCATGTTCTCTATTAGTGGAAACAAGACATGATGAGACCATTATCTTTCATGTCTTGTGACCACGTTGAGCACGACTGTTACGGACCACGCTGCTCCTTTATTCAAAGCTGCAGGGTTGTTTACTGTGCTGTCTTCAAAGCGGGGAACAGATCCCATGACTTCTAGAGGAAGAAATCCGCAAAGCTCTGGGCCAGGGGCAGGAGGAAAGGCCATCTGATCGGCATACAGGGTTGGGGCGCAAGGGGGCAAATGTGTACTGGGGGGCGGGCGAGTACTGACCACCCTGCGAAGCGGGTCAGAGCCCAGCTCCGGGTCCCCGCTCCGGCTGCAGTGCCTGACATCAGCATGACCTCGGGCAGGGACCACGACCTCTCTCAGCCTTACCCGCCACAGGGACCAAACAACGTCAGCTCTGGGGTCTGCAGCGGATAAACGGGGACCATCTCCACAGAGCCCTCCGCAACGTGTCTGGCTCACGGGAAGCCACCAGCTTTGAAGACATGACCATCCGCTCTCTCTACTTGCTTTGCCTCCGCCCTCTGACGGATGGCTGGGCGTTTGCTCCATCCAGGGCTGAGTAGACCGAAGCCGAGAGCTGCCGCGATTCGCCCAGGAGCTCAGAGCAGCCGGGGGCCGTGCCCACCACTCTGCCTCAGGGCCACCTTCACTGGCACGTCAGGGCTCCGCTCCCTTTGTCCCTGTCCCCCTGTGGCTTCTTTCCAGAGTCCTGAGAAACCACGGGCCCCCTCATGCCTCTAGGAGGCCGCCAGGGAGCGTGGCAGGAGACAGCAGCCGCAGGGAAACTTTTAAAGGGAAAAGAAAAAGAAAAGACCGCTTGCCTTCTCTCGGGGAGGTACCCCGCTCCACACACGGAGAAGGGAGGGCAGCGCCCCCTCCTCTTTCTGCCTCTGCCCCCAGCTGCCCCAGGTGGGCGCCCGCTGGCCGAGTCCTGTGCTGGGACCGGGCCTCCCTGGAGCCACCAGAAGACCTCAGCTCAGGCTGCCCCCTGCGTCCGCCCCAGAGGGGAGTGGAGCGGGCCTGGGAGGAGCGGCCTGACCCCCACCCCTCCCTCCGCATTCATCCCAGGGTCCTCCAAGGGGACAAGGGCCTGATTCTGTGACCCCTGAGCCCCGCCTCTCAGCCCCCAGGCCCCAGGCGGCCTGGGAAGCCTCCCGCCTAAGTTCAGAGGCCTGGAGGCGCCAGGAGGGAGCTCAGCGTTCAGAGGCTTGGACACCCCACTCTGTGTGTCCCCCAGAACCGCTGATCTGAAAAAGGGGTGCTCCCTGTGCGAACGGAAACCAGGCCGCCCAGGTCTTCGCAAGGAGCCACGTCTGCGCAATCTGCCCTTTCTGGAAACTCCAAGCCCCTCACCCTCCTCCGAAGGTCTGAATCAGGCCTCCACGAGAGGTGTGCGCACAGAAGCCTAGCTGACAGCCGTCTGCATGCACAACTTCAGAAGTGGACCCACTTCAGTGCGACTTGTTCAGAAGCCGGCTGGCCAAGCAAAAATGTACTAGGCGTATTCAATTAAAAAGCTCAGCTATCCACTCCAGTGAATAAACAGATCCTATGTGGGGAGTGGGGCTGGGGGCTGGGGGCTGGGGGCTGGGGGTGGGGGGGCAGACCTGTGCAGTGAACAACAATGAAATCTTGAAACCAAATATCAAAAATATACAAGTCATTTCTAAGTGAAAAATCATGACTGTTTTTTATTTCCTTCTTTGTGCTTCTCAGCATTTTATAAAAACGCACCACGGCAGGTTTGGAGTCGGATAAAAAAGTTCATCTTTGAAAAGCCTCCTTTTTTCTTTTTCTTCTCCTACATTCCATCCACGCCAGCTCGCTTGAATTCGGTGTTCAAACACCTTTCTCCCCAGCTCAAGCCCCAAGAGGGATTTTTTTGGAGGGAGGTTAGAAGCTTGAAAAGAGGAAACAGACCAGCCCTGCGATTTCTCCCTTCAATTCCCAAACGCAATTCGGAGTAAAGATGGAATGAAACTGCAGGGCTTCAGGATGCCCCCCGGGCTCGGGGGTAACCGACCTGGTAAACAGCTATTGGTGAGGCCGCACAAACACGGCGCAGGCAAATAAACAGCTGGAAAAAAGAAATGTTTTAAGAAGAATCAAGTCAGGAGCAGCAAGGGTGCTCTGTAAGACCAAGCCAAGGAGGGGGAAAACAATGCCCAAGACGCAAGCCTCTTCCGCCGGGGGCTGTCCGTGGGGAGGCCCTGGGCCCCGAGCGGCGGCTTTGTGCGCCCGGGAAGCTGGCCGCCGCGGAGGGAGCTGCGCTGAGCCCCCGCCCCGGGCCGCAGACCGGCCGGGCGCCGGTTCCCCAGGCAGGGCGGCGGGAGGCCGCGGCCGCCGGCGGATCCACAGCTCCATCGCGCGGCCGCTCGTAGAACAGCCGCGCAGCGCTCCGGGAAGCGGTCCAGGGCTCCGCGCCTCCAGCGGCCCCGGGAGGGTCTGGAGCCCAGCCTGAGCCCGCCAAGCTGTCGCTCCCGGGCCCGAGGCAGGAGCCCGCAGACGGACACCAGCTGTCCCAGCGAGTACAACCGGGGTCCGCCCTGGAACCGGCTGCCCCAGGGATGCTCGGTGCTGCTCTTGCCATCAGGGACCAGACCCACCTTCTCCTTTGGCATCTTACTCCACGTGAGAAAGGTCTGCTCTCCAAAAGGAGAAGGGCCAGAGGGAAGGGGCCCGAGGGAAGGGCAGATCTGATGGGCAACAGGTCTGCCGGGCACACAGTCCATCCGGGCTTCTTGCATCAGGAATTCAGCCTCAGGCCTGCGAGCAGAGCCTCTGGCACGTGTGATCCCGGGCTTGGGTCAGCACCCTCAGCCCTGCACGGTCTACAGGCCTAGAACCACTTCTGAAACACAGCCCTCAACTCCAGGAGCCTCCCGGGACAGGATCCCGTCCTCAGAAACAAATGTTGGGATGACCTGATTTCGTTCCGTGTGTGTGTGTGTGTGTGTGTGTGTGTGTGTGTGTGTGAGAGAGAGAGAGAGAGAGAGAGAGAGATGTCTTCTTTACCCCTTTATCTGCCGATGGACATCTAGGTTGCTCCCATGCCCCGGCTATTGTAAACAGTGCTGCAGTGAACACGGGTGGGCATGTGTCTTCTGGAATTATGTTTTTTTCAGAATATATGCTCAATAGTAGGATTGAAGTGTTACTCACTCAGTCGTGTCCGACCCTTTGCGACCCCACGGGCTATAGCCCACCAGGCTCCTCTCTCTGTGGGATTCTCCAGGCAAGAATACTGGAGCGGGTAGCCATTCTCTTCTGCAGGGCATCTTCCCGGCCCAGGGATTGAACCCCGGTCTCCGGCACTGAAGGCAGATTCCTTACCAGCTGGGCCACCAGGGAAGCCAAAGCAATGGAGTTACTGGGTCCTTTAGGACGTCGACTGAGACATCTAGCCAAACACTCTTTCACTGAGAGCTAAACCCGCCTGTGGTCCTCTCATAACCTCTCACTCCTAGTCCATCACCGAGCTCGCCAATCAGTAGATTTTAGGGGTTTTGTTTTTGATTTTTACCTTTTTATTGTTGCCCACAATAAAAATTAGAACTGGCAATAATAAGAAGAGACAAATGTTGGGATTATGGGGTCACTAACTGAAGAACACGTGATCTCCATCTTCGACCACTGCAGGAAACTGACACAGGGAAAAACAATCCTTAGAACAGCAGCGGGAATATACAGATCACTAAGGGTATTATCTGAGCCTCCCTGGCGGCTCCGTGGTAAAGAATCCACCTGCCAAGGCAGGAGATGGGGGTTCAATCCCTGAGTCAGGAAAACCCCCTGGAGAAGGGAATAGCTACCCACTCCAGGAGTCTTGCCTGGAGAATTCCATAGGAAAACAAACAAAAAAATCCTTAGAACAGCAGCAGGAATATACATATTAATAAGAATATTATATAACAGGTAACCATAGCAAAGGCATTGAGCAAACTGCTTCGTACTCATCATCTCCCTGAATCTTTTCAACCACCTTAGAAGATGGGCACTTTTATGATTTCTGTTTTACAGAAAAGGAAAGGGAAGTGCCCAGAGGTTAAATAACTTGCCCAGGTCTGCAGCTGGCAAGTGGCAAAGCCAGGCCTGGATCTCAGAGCCTGGAGCTGGCTCCTAGGCTGACTGCCTCCTCAATTCCATCTTTCAACTCAGCTCTCCCTTCTAAGGACAGATCCAGGTTTTGCTGGACCTGAAGCTTGGACATTTTTCTGAAGGGAGGGGCAGCTTCTTTAAGAAAAACAATGAGGTTATAAATACACAGTCCGGGACAGGGCGTGGAGGGTCCATGTAGGTGAGGGATTCATTACCTCCAGGGTAGGTCCAGCTTTGCTCCCCCACCTCCCCTGCAGCTGGGCTTCCGGAACCACTGCATCCGCTCCTCCAGGTCACTGCTCCAGCCTCTGCAATGGCCATCCACACCCAGCATCCTTAAAACTGCTTTGACTCAAGGTCACCCAATGATCGGGGCGGGGGGGGGGGGGCTTCCCGGGCGGCTCAGTGGCAAAGAACCCGCCTGCCAATGCAGGAGACACAGGTTTGCTCCCTGGGTCGGGAAGATTCCCTGGAGGAGGAAATGGCAATCCACTCCAGTATTCTTGATTGGGAAATTCCATGGACAGAGGATCCTGGTGGGCTACAGTCCACGGGGTCACAAAGAGTCAGACACGACCTAGCGAGTAAACACATCACCCTCTGACGCCCCAGGTGCCAAGTACAAGGAATCCTCCGTAGCCCTGATGTTCCTCCTCCCGGAAACCTGGAGGGCGCTACAGTCTCCTGGCTTCCCTCCTACCATCCAGCCGCTCTCTCTCTGCTCCTTGTTGCTGGAATTTCTGTGTCCTGTTTCCAAAACGTCCTGGTAAGCACGGGCAGAGGAATGAGGAGAAACCCAGAGGCAAGGGAAACCTGAGGTTTCAGCCCCGACCCCTGGTTAAGAGAGTGTGACCCTCAGCCATCCAGTGACCTTCCCTCAGCTCACTGTCTCTCCTGCACTGTGGTTGTTGTTCAGTTGCTAAGTCGTGTCCGACTCTTCGCGACCCGGTGGACGGCAGCACACCCGGCTCACCTGTGCTTCACCATCTCCCGGAGCTTGCTCAAACCCATGTCCATTGAGTCAGTGATGCCATCAAACCATCTCATCCTCTGTTGCCCCCTTCCCCTCTTGCCTTCAGTCTTTCCCAGCATCAGGGACTTTTCCAATGAGTCAGCTGTTTGCATCAGATGACCAAAATACTGGAGTTTCACCTTCAGCATCATTCCTTCCAGTGAATATTCAGGACTGATCTCCTTTAGGATGGACTGGTTGGATCTCCTTGCAGTCCAAGGGACTCTCAAGAGTCTTCAACAACACAGTTAAAAGCATCGATTCTGGAGAAGGAAATGGCAACCCACTCCATTATTCTTGCCTGGAGAATCCCATGGGCAGAGGAGCCTGGAAGGCTACAGTCCAAGGGGTCTTAAAGAATCAGACTGGTCTGAGCCACTTGCACTTCCGCTTCACGGAATGATTTTCAAGCCAAAACTCACTGTCATAATAAAGTTCTCTTTAAACAAAAAAAAAAAAAAAAAAAAAAAAAAATAAAAGCATCGATTCTTCGGTGCTCTTCTGCATGATTAGGATTATACACCACAAGTGACTCAGAAGGTTAAATGAGATAATATATGCAGTATGCTTAGTAGGCTGCCTATGTCCTTGGGCTCCCTAATCGCTGAGAGCCATGGTCAGTCCTGAGCTGACCACCTCTGCGGCCTGAGCACTAGATGACTATTTCCAGCACTTGACAGAATCACCTCACCCAGGAGGCCCTCCCAGAAACTCATCTTGTCTAAAAGCACTCCTCCCCAGCAAAAATGTTCAATGACAGAGGAATGGATAAAGAAGACGTGGTACACGGATACAGTGGAATATCACTCAGCCGTTAAAAAGAATGAAATCGTGCCTGTGCAGCAACACGGATCGACCTAGAGGTTGTCACACTGAGTGAAGTAACTCAGACAGAGAGTCGGACAGAGAAGGAGAAACAGCATATGACATCCCATATATGCAGAATCTATAAAGGAATGATACAAATGAACTTATTTACAAAAGGCCAACAGACTCCCAGACTTAGAGAGCAAGCTTATGGTTACTGAGGGTAGGGAAAAGACTGGGCGGGGCGGAGGGATGCTTAGGGAGTTTGGGGTTGACATGTACACACTGCCAGGTTTTAAATGGATCACCAACAAGGACCTCGTGTATGGCACAGGGGACCCTGCTCCACGTCGTGTGGCAGCCAGATGGGAGGGGAGTTTGGGGGAGAACAGACACATGTACGTGTATGGCTGAGTCCCTTCGCTCTGTGCCTGAAACTATCACAACATTGTTCATCCACTATACCCCAACACAAACTAAAAAGTTTAAAAGTGCTCTCCCCCCACCCACAAGCCCACCCCCTCCCTTTCCTTCTGCCAGTTCTGGATGGCACCATTGACTATTCGGCATGGATAAGACACCCAGGATCCATCTTGAATCCACCCTCCGCCGCGCCAACAATCTCCATGGATCCGCACCTAGCATCCCCCTCAGTCCACACCTGCCTCTCCCGCTCATGCCCAGGTCCTCGTGATCTCGCCCTTGGACCCCTGACCTAGATGAGGGGCTTCCCCACTGCCCTCAACCCATCCTCCTCCCAGAAGGCGGAGCACCCTCAAACCATCTCCCACTGATGGTGCTATTTCTCTATGTGAAACCCTGGGAATGTCCTGCCTTTTCCGTCAGTATGAAGCCCCACCCAACCACGAAGCCCAGGATCCTCAGGCCATGTGCTTGCACATCTCCCCCCGAACTCCCTGAAGGATTCGCCGGAAGGCTTTTCCCCTAAAGGGTCTTCTCAGACATCCCAGAGCATCTGCTCTCCTCTCCCCTCTGTGCCTCTGCACACAGGATCCCACCGCTTGGAATGCCCACCCCTTTCTCTGCCAACCACTTGCAGAGCCCCATTCAAATGTCACCTCCTCCTGGAAGCCTGCCAGGATTCCCCTCCAAAGTTCAGAACCAATTCTCTGTGCCTCCTGTATATTCCTGGATCACGGCACTATTCAAGCCTTACAATAGCAGGATTTATTTCTCATTTCAGAGGCTATGTGGTGAGTTCTTTGAGAGCACCAACATTTTAAAAGACAAAGAGAGTGCACTGGGCAAAGAGTGTGGATTTTGTAAGTGGACACCGACACCCTGAGCACAAATCTAGTTCTATTTATCCTGTCACCACAGCTGGGTGATCTGACATCATTTCTCCAGGCTTCCGTTTTCTTGTCTGTATCATGGGAGGACGGTGGGATGTCCCTTAGAGGGGGTGGGAAGGGGGTGAAAAGGCTTAGAACAGTGCCCGACACAAGGCAATGCCGACCAAGAGAACTAAAGCATCAGCTGCTGTGTAATCTAGGGCTTCCCCGGTGGCTCAGCAGTAAAGACTCTGCCTGTAATGCAGGAGATGAAGGAGACACAGGTTCGGTCCCTGGGTCAGGAAGACCCCCTGGAGAAGGAAATGGCAACCCTCTCCAGTATTCTTGCCTGGGAAATCCCATGGACAGAGGAGCCTGGCGGGCTGCAGTCCATGGGGTCTCAAAGAGTTGGACATGACTAAGTGACTGAGCACGTTCAAATCACATTGAAGAACTAAAAAGAAACAGCTGAAATTCATTTTAATCATGTTTATTGAATCCAACATATCTCAAATATCATTGTTTCAACATGAAATTAATATTTTAAAAATATTATG